TAATAATAAAACTATGTGTGGTAGGTAAAATGTATGTCCTTTCATATCCAACAGTGCTTTAATTCTTTCTCTGTGCCTGACTGTGATTTTGAAAAGGTCTACATTTATTAATACAAAATAGTTTTCCATTAGAACTTCAAGGCCTTTCTCATTATCTTCATAATAGAAGTTTCCGGCAGTCTTACTTTCGTCTGTTGTCAGTTTGTTTCGTTTTGGTTTACCCACTGGAATATTTTGTGGTGTTTCTTTAACAGTTGAGGTTCTAAAATTTTGAAAATGATTTACTTTGGAATGAGTCTTTATTAATTTCGATAAGTACCTGACAATACCGTTCCATGTAAAGGACCTATCCTTTACATTTGGAAAATTTTCCCTTATTATTTTTTTTGATAATTTCCTCCCTTCATCTTCTCTGTTGGTTTCTCTAGCTCTGTCACCTGAGGTTGGACTTCCTAGGTCTATTCTCTGTTTTATCTTTTCTACCATATATTACATTTCTTTGTCTTTTTAAATTTCAGTGACATTTTCTTGATTTAATTTTCCATACTTTCTATTAAATTTTCCAGTTGTTTACAGCATTCGATTATTACTTTTACAGATTAAAAATTCTAATTAGAAAGACTTTCAACTTGTTTGCTGTTACATGAGCTTTCTCTATTAAATCTGTGATAATTTTCATGTTATTTTATTCTCATCTTCTCTTTCATATTATTAGAGTTTCTCAAACATTTGCTCTGCCCTCCTCAACCTTGTCCTTTACATACTGTATAACATCTTATATCATCTCAAGGTACATTTCTTCAAGCCACCTCTAAACTCCCCCAAATTATACCTGGTTCCTGTGCAATACTCTCTCATTTTACCTCATTCTTTTCTTTTACAGATTATTCAGTTTGTAATTATATGTTTGTGGAATTACGTAATATATGATATTTCTTCCAACTAGAGTGTAAATTCTATGAAGACAATGAGTGTATCTGTTTTCACATTATTTTAATGATACTCATAACAAAGTATGGTACTTATTGCTATAATGGTATTTGATGACCATTTTTGCATTTTTGATGAATTGATGAATACATAAACAAGTCTGTGAACTTAGTGCAGCCAATAATAAAGGAAAAGATACTTCACTTTCCTCTGTTATTATTAGTTCTTGCATACACATTCTTTAGAGTTGCGTTTCTGAGAGGTTGCTATAGTCTTAGGCAGGATTTGGATACTCAGAGTTTCCTCACTGTGATAAAAATGAGAACAGCCTAAAACTAACATAACCTCAAACAGAATGATTGCTTCTCTGCCTATGCTTATGGGACTTTCCTAGAATGCATTAAAAAAAATCTTTGTGTTACAGAAAACTTCAACTAAGTACAGTAATAGAGAGAAGAGTACCGTGTTTTAACAACTCAGCTTTAACAATAATCAATTCATGGGCAATTTTGTAAACCCACCCAATTAATCATACATGTACACTGGGTTATTTTGAAGATATTTTCTGATATTATATTTCATTCATAATTATTTTATTGTGAAAATCAAAAGTAGGATGACTTTTTAGAAACATAACAGCAATGCCATTACCACTCTAAAATTAGATAATTCCTTAATACAGTCAGAGTCAATTTTTCTGATCGCCTCATATAAATTTGGTTCACGTATTTCTTCAGCCCTTAAAAAAATGTAGTTTCTCTCCTCTCTCTCTCTGAATTGCTGCTGAAGAAATGGAGTTGTTCATCTAGTAAAAGTTCCATATTCTGGATCTTGTTGGTTGCATCCCTGTGGTGTCATTCGCTGTGGGATTTGTTAGTTGGACTCAGGAAATAACAATAACACCAATTGTTAACACCTATTGATGACATACTATGTGCCAGTACAGACTGTAAGTAAAATAAAATGTTTAATTCTTCAAACCCCCAGTTTATATGTGTTAAGTGCAAACCTGAAATATTTCATGCGATTTTTGAAATGTTGTGAATTTTATTTATTTATTTATTTTTAGAGATGGGCTCTTGCTCTGTTGCCTAGGGTGCAGTGAGTTCAGTGGCACAGTCCTAGCCCACTGAAGCCTTGAACTCTTGGGCTCAAGTGCTCCTCTTGCCTGAGCCTCCAGAGTAGCTGGGACTACAACATGCCACCATGCACTAATTTATTTTTATGTTGTAGGGATGGGGCTTTGCTTTGTTGCCCAGGCAGCTGTTGAACTCCTGGCTTCAAGCAGTCCTCCCTCATTGGCCTCCTCCTTCATTGGCCTCCAAAGTGCTAAGATCACAGGCACAAGTCTCTGTGACCCACTAATTTTGTAAATTTTAAATAGTGTGATATTAAATATTAATGAAGTCCCATTTTGTGTATATAATCCAAAATAATTAAAATAACAAATAATTTTTAAGGTATCTCATGATTTAAAATCATGGAGGTTGATCTGTAACCCTATTTATAGTAATGTCAACAATGACTCTACTATTTTAGCTGATAAAATTTACTCTTATTTTTTAGAATTAGTTTTAATTCTGCTATTTTAACATTACATAAATAATTTTTGAATACATCCTTTTACAAAAGTGCGATTATCATTAAATTTGTTTTCCACAGTACTTCTTGAGGAAGGAGTCTGAGTTGGGCAGCATTTGTAGATTTCTGTATGACTCTGGTCATTACGCTCTTCAGTACAACCCTTATATTACACACATACACACAGACACACAAATGCACACAACTCCAAAATGCTGGGTTATTGCCTCATGAATCATTGAAATTTATATGAAATTTATTTGAAACTCTATTGCTAAAAATTTCTTAGCACATCTGTGCATTTTAATGTGACCTTTTTATGCTAAAATTTTTATTTTATATATTTAGGAACATAATTTGTTATCTTTTGTTTTCCTTTTTAAAAATAGACTTTATTTTAAAGCAGTTTTAGGTTCACAGAAAACCTGAGCAGAAGGTACAGAGATATCCCAGAAATCCCCAACCCTCGGGCCATGGACTGGTACCAGTTTGTGGCCTGTTAGAAACTAGGCCATGCAGTGGGCAAGCCAGTGTTACCAACTGAGCCCCGCCTTCCGTCAGATCAGTGGTGGCATTAGACCTCATAGGAGGGTGAACCCTATTGTTAACTGTGCATGCAAGAGATCTAGGTTGCATGTTTCTTATGAGAATCTAGTTAATGCTTGTTGATCTGAGGTGGAACAGTTTCACAGTTTCATCCCCAAATCATGCCCCTTTCCCCCCTGCTCTCTGTGGAAATATTGTCTTCCATAAAAGTGGTCCCTGGTGCCAAAAAGACTGGGGACTGCTGCCAGATACACTCTGCTCCCACACGTGCATAGTCTCCCCCATTAGCAACATCTTCCACCAGAGTGGTACATTTGCTACAATTTATGAACTTACATTGGCACATCATTATCACCCAAAGTCCATAGTTTACATTAACTCTTGCTCCTGTTGTACATTCTGTGGATTTGAACAAATGCATAAAGACATTTTTCACCATTGTGGTATTGAACAGAATAGTTTTATTGCCCTAAAAATCCTCTGTGCTCTGTGATGGACATTTTCATGATCATCACTGGCTCAGATTCCCTGTGCTTACTGATTCCCAGTCTGCATTTTAAATCATTTTCTCCTTGAACTTTCTTCACCTTCTCCTCAAAGTAAACATGCGTAAACATCTGCTGCATATGATATACCTTGAATAAACACTTCTGGGCCATAAGGAGGGAATATATCCCTTCTAAGAGAGTTGAAAACAGAAGGTCAAATGTTACAACTTCTCATCCTAAGAGTTCTCTTAGCAATTCAATCTCAGCCTTTCTCATTGTGGAGAAAGATAAATATCCTTCAATTATCATACAAAAAGAAATTTGCTCATAGTTCTACATTTGAATCTCCTAAATCATTAAGGGGCTGCGAAAAACAAAAGGAATTTTCCTACAATATAATCCATTCTTTAAAATAAATTAATTTTAAGTATAACCACAATGTTTTCTTATGTATTTATAGATTATGTGTAAGGCATTGACTATATATCAAGATTATTCAAATTCCATCAATAATTTTGTAAGGAAAATTATTACTCCTACATTGTGGATGAGAAAATAAGGCCAGAATGTTGGATACTTTACCCATTTATAAAGTTTACAATACTAGCTGCAAAGTACTGAGTCCTGGATTTGGATTTAGGGTTCTTTGCACCAAACTATACTGTATCAATTATTGCATTAATGTTTTTCTCTTTTTCTCCAATTAAAATGTAAACTTACTGATGCAGGTAGCAGGGATAGGAATATCCTCACGGATTTCATAGCTATTTAGAGCCATGAGGTCACTGCTGACCCATTTCCTCCGGGAGAGCTTCTGCTAGGAGATGGTGAATCCAGTGGAGGACACAGCACCCACAGCTGCTCCCACATTGTCTCAACTGTGTTGTTCTTCCTAGGGTTTCTCTCCTAAGCTCACACTTTCCTCAGCCAGGAGGAATGAGCTGAAAGGGCTGGGAATTTCTGAGAATATTGGTGGTGTTTTTTATCGGCATGTTTCTTAGAAACATCCTGCAGCCGTATTCACTATACTGTCTCCTTCATGCCAGGGTGGCACAGGAAAAGCTACATGTTCTCTAGCAAAGCCTCACTCAGGAGGTGAGGGAGACTGTACCTCTATTCAGGGCTCCTAGATATGTCTGTGGCCTCTACTCCCATCCCTTCTCCCATTGTCAGTAACCCTATGTGAGGAGTAAGTATTTGATCCTTTTCAGATACCCACATTACTGTCTTATTCTAATGTTTTTCTGACTTCCATTTCTTTTCCTGCCTAAAGAATTTTTATTTCCTCAAGGTGAGGATGGGAGAGGAAGGCTTCTACTGTCACCATTCTTCACAAAATTTAAGTTTTGAGAATAAATTTTTACTTCTGATATTTTTTAGATTCAAAGATACTTTATCCTAACTTATTTCTCTGTCACACTTTAAAAAACCATATTGAAATTAGTACAAACTCACTTTTTGGTTTTAAAATTTTTGCTTTAACAATTCTGAACCAAGGGCAGAGGGTATCCATTAACTTCATTGTTGCCTGAATTGAGGGGTGGGTGGCAGTGCCAAGGGTGGAAACACATGGAAGAAAGAAGAATTAACATCAGCTAAGAAATCAATATATTATCAGGCTATAATGTACTTGGTTGCTTCTGTGTTACTGGACATAAAATATGACCTGGGAAATGAGATTAAATAGGCTTGAAACATAAGAGTCTCCCAATTCTTAGCCATGCTTTCAGTCAGCCCTGGATGAAAGATTGAAAAATTTGGCATAGATTTCATAAAGGGAAATTATTGCTTCCATGGAGATTTTAGATTGAGGTTACTGAGGAATTAGGCAGCTGAGTGGCTTACCCCAGGCATCTCTTAGTAGGTAACATTTGAGAAAAGAAAAAAAAAATCAGGAGGAAAGAATTCAAAGGCATTTGTGAGCTCTGAGGAGATACAGCAGCTGAAGTCCCAGAGAACAGGTGAGAGGAAAACCATTTTGAGGAGAAAAGGGATATGATAAATCAGGCCAGAAAACCGTGCTAGGTCACCTAGCAAGTCGATTCTTCTGCTCCTGTAGATGGTGATGCACCTGCAATAGGACAGACATGAGAAGGATGGCTCCGAGGGGGCTCCTGTGTCACGATCATGCCGCTTCCCAATTCCCCTATGACTTTCAACCACATTCGTGTCCACAGCCTCCTCCCACTTTCCTTCCTCTCATACTGCGGCTTCAGCTCTAACCAATCTCAATCTTACCTCCCCTTCCAGGATGGGACTCACAAGGGCCCTTGGCGTCTGGAAGCACCAGCTAAACGCAGGCCTCGGATGATGAAGACAGTGCCCACCACAATGCCCACGAAGCCCACAGACAACCCCAGGGCACAGACCACAGATTCTGTGAACTCTGACACAGAGGGTGAAATCTCAGGCTCTGTGGAAATGAAATTGTTGAGGTCAGAATGCAGAGTGTGCTTATGTGCATGTGCGGGATGGGATGGGGTGGAGGGTTGACTCTGCAGAGACTCGAGGCCCCCCTGGCTTAGAGAGGAGAGTTAAATCTATCATTAATACCCATGAACCCATGAAGTGGCAGGCCTGCTCCCACTCTGTGGAGTGTAGTAGTTTCATTTTCAATAAATCTCTGCTTTTGTTGCTCTAATCTTTCAAAAAAAAAAAAAAAAGAGTGGGGGGAACCCCGAATCCCATGAAGTGTGGAAAACAAGTTCAGGATATATGAGTAAAAGGCAGGAAGTTCTGAACTCGACAGACAAGAAAGCATCAAAAAGTGGTGGAACGCATACTTACCCCAGTGTTTCAGAAAAGGCTCCTCCAGGCCCCAGTGCTCCACCTTGCAGTCATAAATCTCATCTTCAGAAGGGAGGAAGGTGAGGTAACTGATCTTGAAGAAGGAATGATCACTCTTGGAGAGGAAGCTGGTCTCAGAAACACCTTCTGTGACTGAGTGCCCATTGCTCAACCATGTGATGTTGACCACGGGAGGAAAGATGTTGTCTACAAGGCAGATGAGGGTGTTGGGCCGACCCAGTGCCACAGGAGACTTGGAAAACACTGTGACCTCAGGAACCTCTGTGGTGAGGAAACAGCATTGATGTGAAGTGTGAATAGCTCTTCCCTGAGGTTCTGCATTGTGTCCTGGAAGAGCCCTCCTACCAGCGTTTCTTCTGCTGCTGGTCAAAGAGGTCTTATTTAACTTCTGCTTGGGAACAATGATACATTGCCTCTGCTTATTCTTGTTCCCTTCTCTCTGTGGGCATGTTCAATACAGTAGGAGGTTGATGAGACCTCTCCTAGAAGGATTTAATGAATGCATAATGGAAAGACCCTTGTATTACAGGGGGATATGTAATTTTAGAGAAGGGAGATGATAAAATTTCAGCAATTGCCATGAGGAGATCTGGAAACCTCTTGGAAAGAAAATAATGAAACTTGGTATGAAGGGATAGATTCAGTACAGAGAGGCGGAATGGTGGGCACATACCATTGATAGCAGCGGTAGAGTTGGAGCGTTTAATCAGGATGTCCAAGTTGTGTTTCGTCACAGCGATGTTTGTCAGTGCGCCCTGCGGGTCAAAACTTGTAAATGTGCTGAACACAGGCAATCGCCAGACAGTCTCCTTTTTCCCTAGGTCGACGTAGAACTCCTCATCTCCATCAAATTCATGGGTGAACTGGCCAGAGGGACCATAAGACTGGTACAAGTTTACACCGTAAGAGGCAACGTGGTCAGCTGGTGAGTGACGGTGATAAACAAGAAAGTGGAGAAGAGGGGAAGAAAGAACCTGAATACGAAAATGATGGAAGAAGCTGACTTTCAAATATTATTGGTTTCATCTTTGGTACAGTCTGTGGACATTCCCAGCCCCTGCTTCCTCCCCTCTTTGTGTTGGTAGTTCCGTTAAAATTGTGATTTTCCTCCCACTGTAATGTGCGCTGCACAAGGGTAGAACATTGCATGTCAAATTTTTACTATATTCTGAGTGCCTGGCACCTCATGGACTTGTGATTAAATAATGTTATTGAACAAAAGAAAAAATGAATGAGTTATCATAGTATTTAGCTTTCATAGTCAGAGATTAGATTTACTTCCTTCTGCTTCCTAAGTTTTATCTTTCACTTAATTCTTTCATCAGTTAATAACAAATTAATTATATTTCCTTTCCTCTGAGGACTGGCTTAGAACAGAACACTCTACACAGAGATCTTTCTGAAAAAAGAAAAAAAAAAAAGGAAAAGTATGCAGAATCTTATTAATTTAGAATAGTTTCTACTAACAACTGCAAGGTATAGGAAAGAGTCTAACAAGATTGGTAATAACATTATAAAATATACAATAAATAAAAAAATGCCTCCTTCTAAGATCTCTGTTTTGTTAATAGTAATGATCCTTCAAGGACAGCAACTGTTTCTGCTGAAATGAGAAGTGGAAGCTCTACTAGTTTTTGGACTTCTGTCATTCCCCTCCACCATTTTTGTTTTTTTTCCCTGAGGGAGGTTACTATGGGTTTTGACTCAACACGTACATTCACTTGAGGACGCAGGTAAATTAAACCCTTTTTCCTCTATTGGGTGGTGTGCTTGTCTGAGGATGCCAGAGCAGAATGGCAGCCATGCAGCACAACTTCAGCGAAATGAGCCTAAGTGGACATTCTTGTCAAGATATATGTAAGCCTTTTCCGTTGTAACTTTCCTTCCTTCCCCGCCTTCTGAGCATCTACAAGGGTTAGACAAGCAGAAGATGTATAAAACACCAGTCAGACATTGTCTACTATCAAGAAACCAACTGAGTAGTGGAAGAGTCAGGTAGGTAAGGGAGCAAATACAATATACTGTGGTGAGTTCTGTGAGGAGGATGTCGACAGCCTTACATTCCAACATCCTTCACAAGTATCTGTCAAGCAAACCAAACTACATTGTTCTTTCATGTTCCTTGCCCTTTGCAGTGGTCTGTTCTTTTTCTCCCTAAAGTGAAATTATCTTTTAGGGCCTCCTGGAGAAATCCTAAAATTCATCTTTGAGGTCTCTGCTTAGTTAACAACTTTGTAGCTAAGTCTGCTCATCAACATGTTTTTGATCACATTATGACCTCTAACCCCTGCATCTCAGTGTCTGGATCTCCAAGTTTGTCTGTTCCTCTTCCAGCTCACCTTCTTCCCTAGCCACCATGACTGCCCTGGTGGGTCTTAGCAGGCTATCAGCAAAGCCTCCTTATCCTTGCAATAAACCTCGACTCCTTGTTCAAACATGAATATATGCAGAATATATACAATCCTTCTTTTCATCTGGTACTTGTTTTGGGTGCTGAGTTTTCCTGGAGGACCATCATCCTGCTGGCCCAGCTGGAACCAAGTCAATTATACAGATTCCACCTCTGCTGATTCCACTCCCCTCCTTAGCAATAGCTTTCTGCCTTCCTGCACCCCATACTGTTTCTATCACTAGAATGAGTACCCTTTGCAGGGAAGATAGCATGACTTTTCATCTTTGAATTGTTAAAACTTAGCTCACTTTGTGCTCAAATGTGTATATTAAATGATAGTTGCTATATTTGAGGACCACATGGATTTTGGAGAAGACTGACAGGCACACAGGTAGCAGAACCATACGAAGGCCAGGATCAGCTATGATCAGGGCTGCATTCTGAATTGTGAGCCCCGAGTACTCTTGCTTTTGGGGGTCCCTTTCTACATAAAAATATGAAAAATTATATTATATGACTGAATTGGTATAAAACAATATAATCCAGGCTGAATTAAGAGTTAAAATATTTTTTTTAGGCTCTAAAATTTCATCTTCTAAAAAAAAAATAAAAGGACTCAAAACATTCTCATGTACCTTTACAGTGTGAGAGGTTCCCTGCACTGCCCACACTGTGCCTAATGGATGAGTTAAGCCTGACCAGGACGCTCTGGCATGAGGTTGAAGAAAGAAAATTTTGAATAAAGAAGCCAAGTGCTCTGGAGAAGCAGGTGAAACTTCTACTGCCAAGCAAAATCAGAATGGGAACAGCCATGGTTAATAAGTTTGGAGTACTGTAGGAGATTGGTCAGGGTGGTGGGAGAAGCTATAGCAAAAGATGCAAACCTTCTTAAAAGGTTGGAAGGTTTTGCAAAGCTTCAAGACAGAATAAGCTGAAGAGAGCTGTTCTCATATCCTAAGGCAGAGAGCAAGGAGTAGGTAACAAGGGAGTGTAAAGATATTCACTATTGGTGGGAATGTAAATTAATTCAACCATTGTGGAAGACAGTGTGGTGATTCCTCAAGGACCTAAAAATAGAAATCCCATTTGACCCAGCAATCCCATTACTGGGTATACATCCAAAGGATTATAAATCATTCTACTATAAGGACACATGCACACGAATGTTCATTGCAGCACTGTTTACAATAGCAAAGACCTGGAACCAACCCAAATGCCCAATGATGATAGACTGGATAGGGAAAATGTGGTACATATACACCATGGAATATTACGCAGCCATAAAAAATGATGAGTTCACGTCCTTTGTAGGGACATGGATGAACCTGGAAACCATCATTCTCAGCAAATTGACACAAGAGCAGAAAATCAAACACCACATATTCTCACTCATAGGCAGGTGTTGAACAATGAGAACACATGGACACAGGGAGGGGAGCACTAAACACTGGGGTCCGTTGGGGGGAAATGGGGGAGGGATGGAGGGGTGGGGATGTGGGAAGAGTTAGCATGGGGAGAAATGACAGATACAGGTGAGGGGAAGGAAGGCAGCAAACCACACTGCCATGTGTGTACCTATGCAACAATCTTGCATGTTCTTCACATGTACCCCAAAACCGAAAATGCAATAAAAAAAAAGATATCTATCTATGTAAGTTTATTTATGTTGTCCAGAAACCAAGCTTTTCTCTCAGGAGACTGCTCCCTGCAAAGGAGCTGACAATGTTAATTACACACAGATTGTGTTGGCTCCAGGCTTTTGGCATTGTATCTGTACTGAATAAAAGCAAAGAGCTCCAGCTTGTCGAGACTCCTGCTCACTCTCCAGCAGTCCCCTAGCTGCTCTCGTGCAAAATACCTGTGTCTGAGTGTTGCTTCCATCTGTCACTCAGCCAGTGTCTGCAAGAACAGACTTGGAAGCTGGTGCCCTGCGTGAGGAAAACAAATCTGAAGAGACTGCACAGTCAGCAAGTCATTGGTGCCCACTCGGGATTTCCAAGTTTGGGGGAATATTCAAGCTAGGGTTTCATCATAGGACAACAGTTATCCGTTCAACAGAACAGTATATAAAAGTATTGAGGGGCCGGGGGCGGTGGCTCAAGCCTGTAATTCCGGCACTTTGGGAGGCCGAGGCAGGTGGATCACGAGGTCAAGAGATCGAGACCATCCTGGTCAACATGGTGAAACCCCGTCTCTACTAAAAATACAAAAAAAAAAAAAAAATTAGCTGGGCATGGTGGCGTGTGCCTGTAATCCCAGCTACTCAGGAGGCTGAGGCAGGAGAATTGCCTGAACCCAGGAGGCGGAGGTTGCGGTGAGCCGAGATCGCGCCATTGCACTCCAGCCTGGGTAACGAGCGAAACTCTGTCAAAAAAAAAAAAAAAAAAAAAAAAAAAGTATTGAAACAGCAGCTTAAAGCTAGTAGAGCCTCAATTTCAAAGGTTCAATTAAGGAACCCCTAATGCAAACTGTCGTTTCCCCAAACCCATGGTTCCCAGAAGAAGGCACGCTGGACATAGAGCTCTGGGAACAAGTGGGGAGAAATCTTAAAAGATAAAATGCAGCCGGGCGCGGTGGCTCAAGCCTGTAATCCCAGCACTTTGGGAGGCTGAGGCGGGCGGATCACGAGGTCAAGAGATCGAGACCATCCTGGTCAACATGGTGAAACCCCGTCTCTACTAAAAACACAAAAAATTAGCTGGGCATGGTGGTGCGTGCCTGTAATCCCAGCTACTCAGGAGGCTGAGGCAGGGGAATTGCCTGAACCCAGGAGGCGGAGGTTGCGGTGAGCCGAGATCACGCCATTGCACTCCAGCCTGGGTAACAAGAGCGAAACTCCGTCTCAAAAAAAAAAAAAAAAGATAAAATGCACAAGGCCAATGGGTCCCAGTAACATCTTTAACATTAAGGGCCTTAGTCAGGGCTGCTTTGACCCCGCTCTACAGAGAAGGGCCTAAAAAGGGAAGGGAGGAGGAACCATCACCTACTTTACTGCCTCCTCCTTCTCCCTCAGCCCCACAGTTATCTGGTTAAGATACGAAAGAGGAAATGGAAATTTTCCCTGAGCCCCCTCCCCTAATAAATTGGAAAAAAGACAAGGGATATACTACAGCTGTGGAACCCCGTCTTGGGCAAGTGGCATTAGAAGGGGAGCTCTTAGCCCACCTAGTAATGCAAGATTGACAAGGCAATCAGGAACCCATTTCTTGTAATGCTGATAAAGAGATAAGAAAAAGCATTAGAGAAACAGAGCTGCTAGCTTATTTATGAAAAGATTAACTGAAGCCACAGTAGACAACTTCCATGTGACCGCATGGGACTGGTCAGTGCTAGCTAAGACAACTTTAGAGCCCAATCAACGCCTCCTCTGGAAGGCAGAATATGATGAGTTGTACCAACAACGAGCCAACCAGAATCAATTGGCCTGGCCAGGCATAACAGCCACTATGCTCCAGGGGAGGGGTCCCTATGTCGATGTACAACAACAATTAAGTTTTGCTCCCCTAGCCTATGCACAAGTGTCTTTGTGAACTCTCAGGGCTTGGGACCGAATTCCTGAAGGTGGACTTCAACAGAGATCTTTTATAAATGTTCAACAAGGGCCTCAGGAGCTATTTGTTGAATTTATCAGTTGGTTAACCCAGGCAATTAAGAGACAAATTAGTCATGCCCAGGCTGCTGATATCTTATTGCCACTATTGACTTATGAAAATGCTAATGTAGACTGCCAACAGGCAATGCAGGCAATCAGAGGAAAAGCAGCTACAGTTGAGGAATTTATATGAGCATGTCAACTGGTAGGAACTGAAATACACAAAGCCAAGATATTCTCTATGGTATTAAAGCCTCCTAAAGGGAGAACACCTCTAATTATTTTTTATGTGTAAAGCCAGGTCATATGAAAGCAGGAATGTCTCAATAGTAGAGACCAAGGTAACTCAGGAAAAGAACTCCCTTCTATATGCCCCTGATGTAAAAAGGGGAAACACTGGGAAAATCAATGCAAGTCCAGGTTGATAAAAATGGCAACCCCCCTAAGTAATTAGGCAGGAAACTTCATGAGGAGCCTTCCCCAGGCCCTGCTCCAAACTGGGGCAATGCCAGCCACTTTTCTTGATCAGATAAAAGCCCACAGTCCTTTCTCTCAGATCAGCCACCTCTGGGAGCACAGGACTGGATTTAGTTTGACCCAAATAACTAGTGCTAAAAGAAGGAGAAGACCTTAAAGGGGTTGCAACAGGGATCTGAGGCCCACTGCCTCTGGGAACAGTTGGATTGGTCCTAGGGCAATTAAGCCTATCCAGTAGAGGAATCAATGTGCTCACCAGGATAATTCATAGTGATTATCAAGGTAAGATATTAGTTATGACAGAATTAAAGGCATACATATGATTCCACCTAAATCTAAAATAGCTCAGTTACTACTCTTACCATTCTGGGTTCTCAATGCCCAGCGAAAGGAAAGGGGAAGGGGAAGTTTTGGAAGCAAGGGAGCCGCAGGAGTATTTTGGAGCCAATTAATCACTGATCAGAGATGCATTATTACCTTAAAAATTGGAAATCAAAATTTTACTGGCTTATTGGACACAGGGGTGGACATTTTAATTATTAGTGATCAAAACTGGCCAGAAACTTGGTGCTGGGTCATTCAGAAACAAAAATTGTTGGCATCAGGGAAGTGCACACAGCCAAGCAGAGTGTGTGAGCCCTAACATGTTGCAATTTGGAAGGAAGAAAAGCCTCTAATCATGCCCCTTCTTGTCCTTTGAGGACAGGACCTACCTTTGAGGACAGAACCTAATTAGCTCAATGGGGGGTCACTCTAAAGACCCCTTTCTAATAACGGCCACTGTTGTGATTCCTCCCTACCCCTGATGTGGCTCTCTCAAGATCCTATTTGGGTAGAACAGTGGCCTTTAAAAAAAGAGAAATTACGAGCCCATGAATTAGTTGAGGAACAATTAAGAGCTGGCCGTATAGAACCATCAAACAGCCCTTGGAATTCACCCATTTTCATCATTCCCAAAACGTCTGGGAAATGGAGACTTTTGCATGACTTACAAGCTATCAATGCTAATTTGCAACTTATGGGGCCTCTTCAACCAGGGCTCCCTTTCCTTGCAGTGATTCCTCGAGATTGGCCTCTAGTCATTATTGACTTAAAAGACGGCTTTTATACTATTTCCTTTGCAAAATAGGACAGAGAAAAATTTGCATTTACAATATCAGCTATCAATAATGCAAGGCCAGCTCACCAATTGCATTGGAAAGTACTTCTTCAAGAAATGCTGTACAATTCTACCATGTGTCAGTATCATGTAAATCAGGCTTTGCTCCCCAGTAGAAAAGAATTTCTTAATTGCAAGATTATCCATTTTATGGATGACATTTTACTAGCAGTCCCAATGCAGCCAGTACTTTTGAGTTTATATGCCTCTGTCGTAAAGAATACACAGTTAAGAGGTTTAATCATAACACTTGAAAAAGTACAGATGACTTCCCCTTGGAAATATCTTGAATACATACTAACCTCTTGGTCAGTAAGACCTCAAAAGGTTTAATTAATTACTAGCAACTTACACACCTTAAATGATTATCAAAAATTACTGGATGATGTTAATTGACTTCACCACACCTTGGGCATAACTACTGATAAATTACAGGAAGCACAGATTAATTATTACAGAACCTGTTTTCTATCCTACAGGGCAATACAGCCCTGGAGTCCCCCAGGTATTTAACCTCTGCAGCAAAAAAGGAAATTGAGGAAATAGAGCAAGCTATTTCTCAGAGGCAACTAGATCTCATAGATCCACGGTATTCAGTCCAATTGTTTGCTTTTCCTACTAAACATTCCCCAACAGGATTAATAGGACAGATGGCCCCAGGGCTGCAGTTCCTAGACTGGGTTTTTTGTTCACATACTGGGACTAAATACTATCTTCCTATATCCAGCTAGTCAGTAAAGTCATCTATACAGGCCACAGATGATGCAACCATCTTTTTCTTTCTGTTTCTCTTTCTTGCTTTCTTGTTGTTCTTTCTCTTTCTCTTTCTTTTTTCCCTCCCTCCCTTCTTCCCTTCCTTCCTTCCTCTCTTTCTTTTTGAGACAGGGTGTCTCTCTGTTACCCATGCAGCCTCTATCTCCTGTACTCAAGCAGTTTTTCCACTGCAGCCTTCTGAGTAGCTGGGACCACAAATATGCAGCACTATGCCTGACTAATTTTTAGTTTTTTTTTATTTTTGGTAGAGATGAGGCCTTGCTATGTTGCCTGGACTGGTCTCAAACACGTGGGCTCAAATGATCCTCCTGCCTCAGCCTCCCAAAGTGCTGGGATCACAGGCATGAGCTACCATGTCTGGCCCACTTTTCTTTTTGTAGGACTTCATTAGATGAGGTGAAGAACAGGTAATTTGGGTTGATAATTTGAGAATAATATGATTTAATTTACCAAGTTTTCTTACCACAAATTATCAGTTTTAAAATAAAAGGATTCCTTATTTTGCTAAATAAATGTGAAGCTATATCTGTAATAAAAATATGTAAAAAAAAAGGTTGACATGCATGTTTCCATGATTTACAAAGCTTATCTACACGCTGATTTTATTTGATTATTTGTGAGGTGACATGGATGAGGCAGCTGAGGGTAAGTGAGGACCATGTGGTGAGACGATTGCTGAAGGCATTCAGCCTGCTGGACTCCTCTACCCACTCCCCACCTGTGCCAGTTCCTATGTGGAAATGTGAGCAAGTCTGAGAGAAAGAAGAAGGTATTTTTCTTAATATCTATAGAGTATATTACTAATGGAACTATTTACCCCAAGATCTACTACAGGAGACAAACAAAAGCTTCAAAAGTTGTTCAGAGAAATTTGAGAGTGACACTTCACAAATTATTAATAACAAAAAGTTCTCTGCGGATAGAAACCTCGCCAATTTTTGAGACAATCATGATGGAATGACATAGAAACCTCCAGGCTGTAGTCACTGAAAGGGTTATAAACAGAATAGCGTCCTTAGTGAACGTCAACAGCATAGATAACAAAAAGAGTAGGTTGGGGCTCTGGTTTCCTGAAGGAGGAACAGACATGATTTTTAAATTTCTTAATACTGAAGGGGCCCTCGGGAAATCTCAACAATTTCTCTACAAATCACTTTCTCTCTTTTCCTTCAATTTCCTGCTTTTCAGCTTCAGAGAACATCCTTCACTCATGCACTCACCCACAATGTCTTCACCTCCACAGGGGCTCATCATGGTGGTCAGTATGAGGGCCCCCAGCATCAGAGCTTTGTTTAGGATCATCCTCTTCCCAAGACAGCCTCAGCAGTTGCTGTTCTGAGTTGTAGAGTAATTGTGAGGACCTCAAGAAAAGGAAATCTGAAGACACTAAAACCAAACAGCTTAGAGTAATTGAGCCAGCCAAAGCCAGATCAGGTTTTGGCCAACTGGAAAAATCCCCTATGATGACCCTTCAGTTGCTAGTTGAAGAGTTTGTATTAATAGCCCTGGAAGATATACACATACCAGGCAGCAAATCACCATGACATGTGTAACAATCCTGCAAGATCTGCACATGTACCCCAGAACTTAAAGTATATTTAAAAAAGTAGCCCTGGAAGATCTCAGGGAAATCCCCTGGTTGTGATGCTGCCTCTGCTCAGAGTGGACTTGAGGAAATGTTCTGTGAATAGAGGGAGGACACTAAATTGGAATCTTTTCTGGTGTGTGCATATCTGCCAGTGGCAAGAGGGGTGGGCATTTCTTTCTTTTTTTCTTTTTCCTTTTTTTTTTTTTTTTCTTTTGAGACTGCTCACTCTGTCACTCAGGCTGGAGTGCAATGGTGTGGTCTTGGCTCACTGCAACCTCCATCTCCTGGGTTCAAGTGATTCTCCCACCTCCACCTCCCGAGTAGCTGGGACTAAAGGTGCCTGCCACCACTCCCAGGTAATTTTTGTATTTTTAGTAGGAAGAGGATTTCACTACATTGACCAGGCTGGTCTTGAACTCCTGACCTCATGATCTGCCCTCCTCAGTTTCCCAAAGTGCTGGAATTACAGGCATGAGCCATTGTGTCTGGCCAGGGGTGGGCATTTCTGCACAGCCTCATGGATAGATGAGGCCATCAATTATATGGCATCTTTCAGGTGTTTCTGAAATTTTTCCCTGAGTTGGTTTCCCTCCCTGGCAGTCCCCCTCCCCTCCCCTTTTTCTGGTTCCTGTGTGTAGGTTAGCTGTTTTGCTTTTTGCTTCCACAGGGCATATGGAATTCTCCAAATATTAAGCTGACCCCAGCTACCTAGAGATCTCTGCTGGTGGTAGTCAAGCAGTACCTTTGCCTTTTCTACTTGCATAAATCCAGTTGGGTAAGTTCTTCTCAAGCTCTCAAAAGATCCAGGTGTTGCCAGGGCAATAAAAAGGGGTTATAATGTCAGATGGTGCTGTCTACAGTAATTGTATGAGATTTTATACAGTTTCTCTTTGAGTTGAGTAATCCTTATGTTCTGTGTTTTGGTGCTTTTTGAGTATGTTTAAAGGAAATTTAGGAACATTAATTACATTTAAAAAGCTTTGGCTGGCTCAATTACTGTAAGAATTTTTAAAAATTAAGAATGTTAAGTCAAAAGTTGAGGGTAGAATCAGTAGAATTGCATTGACTTAGAAAAATTGTTTTCTTTTCTTAAACTACCATTTAAAAAATTGTTATCTACCATATTAAAATTCCAGATATGTGCAAAGGACTAAAGATTGAGCTAAAGTTAGCCATTAGAGGGAAACTTATTGTTTATTTTCAGATGAATATGTTTTCCATATGTGGTAGAAACCATGAGTTAATGGAAGTTTTGTTTAGAATCAATCTGTCCTTAATAAATGGCCTTCTGAGATTCTCAGCACTATTTTACCTCCCAGTGGCAAAGACTGTAAAAAAAAAGGGTGAAACAAACAAACAAAAAATGTACAGATATCTGAGAGCTGCCTGGATGAAATTAATAAGGCCTTGGGGTTTCTAGGAGCTAGCCTGTCATTCCTGGGTGGTTTTGGTTTTCCTGTTGAAGATAAAGGATTTCATAGAACATCAGAATCAGACAGCTACTCTGTGAGCATGATGGATTGAGATGGAACACTAGAAGGCTCAGTCATCATGTCTGAAGCCAGACAAAACACGAATATTGTCCAAACCACAAAAATGACCAGGCACATCTCTCTCGGCAGTGATTTCTGCTTTTTTACCAATTACATCTGTAGCCTCAGGATGGTCTTATCTCCCTCTAAGTAGGATTTATGAAGCTACCCAATCATAGCATTTCCACTCCAACCTTCCACCTTCTGTCAGAATCCAATTAAAAGCAAAATCCCTCTTTCTTAAATCCTCCCCAAAATCACCTAAAACAAGTACAGACCTTACAGTTGATTAATGGTCAATTTTATGTGTCAGCTAGACTGTGATCCCCAGTTATTCAATCAAACACTAATAATCTAGTTGTTACTGTGAAGATATTTTGTAGATATCATTAAAGTTCATAATCAGTTGATGTCAAGAATTTATCCTAGAAAAACTGGGTGAGCTTAATCTAAGCTGTTGAAAAGCTGAAGAGCAGAGCTGAAATTTCTCTGAGGAAACAGAAATTCCACTCTGGACAGTGTGTCAGCCTGTGCTGAGACCCCCAGCCTGCCCTTCCTGACAGCCACCTCCCAGTGGATCTTGGACTTGCCTAGTCCACCTCCACAGCTGGAACAATTAATTCCTTGCATCATTCTCTTAACATACGTATTCTCCTGGTTCTACTTCTTTGGTTCCAACAATCTCTTACTTAGGGGCTGCATGATTCCCCATGGTGAGTTTTATCCATCATTGCAATAAACAATAAAGCCAACTTGTCCATTCAAGGGTCTGCTCCTGCTGGTCTTTGGCTGGTGGCATTGATGGTACCTTATTAGGCAGTTATGAGGAATGTACATATACTGCACTTGGAATGAAAAATTCCTAGGACTCTTTACATGTGTTTGTCATATTTTAATATCATCCTCATTTTCCAAGGAGGACATTAAAGCCCAGAGAGTTGAAGGACTTTTTCCAGGGTCACACAGCTGGTAAGTAGTACAGATGCAATGCTGTGGGGCAAGCCATAGGTCCTTGTGACGGGTGATGGATGAGGGTCTCCTGTGTGGATTCAGAATTCAGTGCCTTAACATGACTCGGAGAGATATCTGACCGTATAGGTCCTGCCATTGTGAACGAAGAGGGTTTTTGAGGTCCCACATAAGATGTGCTCCATTTACCACTCAATATCTTTCTTGCTGTGTAGAGAATAGCATGCTTTTTTCTTTTTTCCTGTATCCAGACTTACCTGCTTTGTATCTCATGGAAATTCCTCAGGATTTTGGCAAATGAACAAAATGTTTTGAGATGCTACTCCAGAATCTCACCTATTAACATTATAGTTTAAATAACTCAACTCCAATTAAGAAGTTAGGGTGTTAAATGTGAGATTAGGATTGTATCTTGGATGGGAAGTTGAGGGTGCTGTTTCAGATCTCACATCTTGTGGGGTGAAGGGAAAGTCCAAGCAAGGCAAAGTCATTGAGGAGATAATAGATGCCCTTTCTATCTTTGACCTGGTTTCTCTCTCTCCTCTTCCTGCTTCATCCAGCCATAACACAGTGGACCTTTTCCCAGTTGCTTCTGTCTTCAGGTCATAATTTCAATGTAAGGTAAAATAATAAGTAAATGAAACTCAGAAGAACAGTATAGCATTTTAACAAAAGCTAATTTGTTACCTTTTTCTAGTAGAAAGAGAAAAGGTCTTCATAAATTAACAGTGGCAACAAAATTTGGAGTTCAAAATACTACTTTGTTCAACAATTTTCTTAGAAAGCACTTACTGATATGCCATTGATTCCATAACTAATAGCAATGGGATGTGCCATTGTAATTAACATCATTAAGAGGAGCCCTCCAAGAAATTAGGTAGAATTTATGTTAGTTCTAATAAACAGTTATAATATTCTGCGATAGCATTAGGAGAAATAACTAATGTAGAAGACGTGTTGACTGGGTATAGCAAACCGCCATGGCATGTGTATCTGTATGTAATGAACCTGTATATTCTGCACATGTACCCCAGCACTTAAAGTATAGTAATAACAATAATAATAATGAAAAGAATTTAGGTAGAATTTTTGTTAATTCTAATAAACAGTTATAACATTCTCTAAGATTCTGTGTATTTTAAAATTCTTTTAGTCTGACATTACGCACTGGTGAAGTTTTACTCTGAAGGCAAAGACTTCTATCTTGGAGTAGTTAAAGGTGCTTCACAATAAAACAAGAGTCCAATGAAGCAAAGTAAGAAGAATATAGATTTTGTAATAAGATAAAGATGCATTCCATGATGCTTTATATTTTATCAGCTTTATCACCTTGGGCAAGCCACTCAAAATACCTGAGCCTTAAGGTTATTTTCCATAAAACAGAAGGAAAATCATTAGATGATATTTAATATGGTAAAATGACACAATAGATGAGTACAGATTATAAAGTTAAATAGAGTCCAGTGTATGACACATAGCAACTACTCCTGAGTAGTAGATGCCACATAAAGACAAATATTAATAATGATAATGATAATAACATCATGCCTTTGGCTGGGAAAGCCTATCAGTTTTTCCTCAATCATTTAACCTTCTCCCAGTGGCACTCCAGGCATGTGGGAGCCTGTGAACCCCAGGCTCCAAGTACTAAGATCTTGCTGAAAAGCAGAATTTCTTTGAAAACTGTTTATCTGTCACATTTTTCTAGGTAACAATGTACTCCGAAACTTCATGACTTCAAATATTGATTTAATTATCTCCTCATGACTCTGTAAGACAAATTGTGCTAGATCCACCTGGGTGGTCTTCGTGTGCTGGGCAGGTTCAGCTCTTCTCAGGTGGGCTCCCTCACATCTCTGTAGCATCAATAAGTTTGGCAAGGATAGGGGGCCTCTCTCCATCTGTGTGGGCTCATTATTCGGCAGGCTGACTGAGGCCTATCACAGGTAATAGAGAGCTCCCCTGCGCAAGACAGAAATAGCAGGTGTCTTAAGCGGAAACTTAAAACTCACATCACTTCCAGCACATTCTATTATTCAAAGCAATCATCATACTAGCTCACATCAAGAGGTGGGTTAACAGATTACATTTCTTGACAGAATGGGCTACAAATAATTTGTAGCTATTTTTGCAACCTGTCACAAATATCCTCTGGCTTTTAGCGATATGTAAATGAATTTGATGTGTGAGCATTGGAGAGTCCCCATATTTGAAATAAATTCCACCCACTCACCTGCAAGTCAAGATCTTATCTTTACTAGTTGGC